TTGAGCCAAACTGTGGTGAAACCTACTAAGTCACGCAAGCAAGGCCTGGAACTCACAAAAGCAGGGCCCAGGATTGCGCTGGTTCTTGGTGCCGCTTGGCAGCTAAGAGTGTTCCATCTGCAGCTGCTTGAGAAGCCGCCAAGTGCTTAGACTCCATGCGCTCCCTAAAGCTCCGAGATCTAGCACGAAACGATTTGTGTGTGATTTCTCTTTTTGGCCCGTGGCCCTGCCTCCTTACTTAAGTAGGCGCCTACTTAACCAAGTAAGGGACGAGTAAGCTACTAGGCTAAGTTCGCTTCTAGTAACTGGACGCAGGATGGCTCCCCCTTGACGAAGCGCTCGCACAAAGTTCCTAGAGTTTTAGGGAAACTTAACTTAATGTTCTAATTAAGCTAGAAAGAAAGTTTGTCTAAGATACAAAGTATGTTTTGGACCATGTTGTTTCTATCTTGAGCACAAATGCCAATTCCGATTCGTGTACTTTCTCAACTTTACAATCTCGGCATCAATGAGTCTTTGAGCAACGTTCCCGTGGCCCCTCTCTTCAAGGGATCAAAAGCATCGCAAAGTATACACCGCTCCACGCCCCGCTGCATTTGGGTGCCCATCCTAACTGCTAGTAGGGTGATTTCATAACTAGACCTTTCACACATGGTTTCTCAGTTTCACGAGGACAACCCGTCGTGGATGATGCATCGGAGGCTTACAAGTCGGCACACAGGTAGAACAAGTGTATATCAATAACAAGTGCATTACTGCTAGTAACAAGAAGCTACTAGTAGCAAGAAGCTACTAGGTGGAGGCCATCGCTAGTAACTTAGTAGGTTGGAGGCCACAACAACTAGTAGCAAGAAGCTACGGTAGTAGCGATGCACTTGTTCCATGCCCTTTGCTCCTAGGCTCATCCGAGGCTGCAGGCCGCTGAGGCGCAGAGCAGCACTGCCGAGGCCACGAAGGTGGCGCCGATGCCCACGGCGCTGTTGCGCTCGCGCCTCGAGACGCGAGGGAAAACGACGCGCGGAGACACGACGCGACGCGTGGGGAAAGGTTCGGATTTGCTCTTAGGTTGGAGGCCATCCCTTCTAGGTTGGAGGCAAAAAACATGAAAAAGGCAAAGACTTGGGCTTGGCAACAAATTGTCTTTCTCTTTCAAACCGGCTTTCTGTCTTCTTTTGCTTTTGTTTTGAGACCTTAATTTCACTTGTTTTCATGTTTTCCATTATTGTTTTGGGTCTCCCGTCCTTCTTTGGTGCAAAAACCCTGAAATCCCGGTGCCTCGCATCTCTGGCCTCCTTTGCGATGGCTGCAGCTTCCGCATCCTTTGCGGATGGAAAGCCACGTCGAACGCGCACGTCGAAGGCGGGCTGGGTCTCCGGCTCTGAAGTGTCGTTTCTTGGGAGTCCTCGACCGGCGCTTCGATGGCTGAACCGCGCGGATGGTTGTACCAGGGTGCTTCGATGGCTCCGGGGCCGTGGCTTAAAGCGCCACATCACCAGGGCCGAAGAAATCCCATCCAAGCTGGCCTACGAACGGAGCAAAGGGCGCTACGTTCGGGGCTCCTGGCCTTACTAGGAGCAAGGATGCTACGAACGGGGCTCCTCCATCCCAAAGCCCAGCACTGAAAGGACCTGAGCTGCTTTCAAGTCCCCAGGGTCCTCTCGTGTTCGTGTCTAAGCTTGAGGCATTCTCCGACAAGCCGATGCTGAAGCCAAGAATCGCGAGCACCTGCCAAACCGCGACGCAGTCGAACCAATGCGCGATTCGTGTCAGAGCACGAGCGAGTTAAATTACGCCCGGGCCAGCGAAATGAAGATGGACAAGAGCGAGACCTTCCTGCAAGGAGCAAGGACGCTACTAGGGGCTCAAGTCCGACTCCCGTTGCAGTGAAAATGGTCCTTGCAGAAAGCACCAGGTGCGCATCTGAAGGCCTCAGAGGCCATTGGCTTCAAGGCCGAACTACATAAAGATCCTAGTAGCTTCTTGCTCCTACTAGCTTTATTCTTCCTAGTAGTAAGGCCAGGAGCTACTAGTAGCGTCCTTGCTCCTAGTAGCGATGCCCTTTGTTCCTATATAGTAGCTTCTTGTTCCTAAGAAGCTTCAAACACCTAGAAAGCTTCTTGTTACTACAGGTGAAACGATTCCCAGTCAAACGATTCCCAAGGAAGGATTGCCGGTGGCCCCCTTCAAGGCCGAATTGAGTCAAATGCGTGACATTCTCAAGCTCCTCTTCCTGTCCTCAGGGATGGTTTCCAGCCACGACGGAGTGTGAGTCATTAACTCAAGAAATGTTCTGGGGGTCAATGCGATTTGGTTGCTTTGGACAACAAGCAAGAATTGAAAAGGGAACAAGAGTGGGCAACGGAACGGTAACAGTCAGTTGAGTCGAAGAGGTTTGAGAACCACTGGTCAAAGCGCCACAGCTCCAAAGACCCCCACCTTCTTCGCCTTTTCCAAGTTTGCTCGGAATTGGAAGGCCTTGCCGGGCGCAGCCCAGCCGCAGACTCAGCAAGCTGAAGGAAGCTGAGAGGTCGGCTAAGGCTGTGGCTTGGGCGCTCCTGGAGTTGTGGCACGCAAGCTGCTTCATCCACTGCATGTAGACAGGTTGTTATCCGCATACTGGATGATCTATACTGTATATAGAGTCACTACCTGTTTCCTGGGTCACCAAAGAGGGTCTTCCAACCTAAGAGTTCTCCTTCGAAGCAAGGTCGATTTCGATGTTGACGAAGCTTGGATCGACACCTCGGATCACTGCATCGTTGGCTGCAACGTGGTCGCCAACGCCCTGCCTTCGGGGCCTCTCTCAAAAACGCCCTGCCTCGTTCAGCGCTTTGTTTCTCCGACATCACGATCTAAACCCGTAGGTGTTCTCTGCAAAATACCTATTATAGAATGCTTCAAAAGGCCAATCGCGTAATCAATCGATGTCAAGTGCACTGCTTGGTTCGTCGAGCTTTGTGGGACAAGAGCTCTTAAATCTTGAAAGTCACTTAATTATAGATACTTTCTTTAGATATATGAATAGTATATGCAAACATCTCCAACAGTTCCGTATCTTTATCATGCTTCATCAACTCCCTTCGGCTGATTGGGACACCATGTCAGGTGCAGTGAAGTGGTGTGGCAAAAACCCGGCCAATGGTGTGGCCCCGAGGCCGCCCGCAAACGAGGTCGAAGCACGTCTTTTAACGAGGTCGATTCTTTGGCTCCAACCTTTGAGGTCGAACCAAGAGGTTCGCATTTACCAAGCAAAACATGCTGAAAGGTCGACGATCGGCCATGCAGTGCCAGGCAGCGCCGACCAATAAGCAAGGTCGTCAGAACCAACGTGGAAGCGGTGCAAAAAAGAATGAACTTGTTCAGCCAATCCAGTAGACAAAGACACTAGCCTCAAAAAGGGGAACACCAGGTGACCACAGCGCCACTCCCTTGGCTCGAATGGCTTGAAGGCCGTCTTGAGAAGAATGGACCACTTTGTGGCACCAACACTCTCAGTAAAAATAAATGCCAGTTGGTCAAAGGACGACATATATACCTCAGTCCAAACACACATGAACAGTCAGATCTTCAGTGACATCCACCAACAGAAGGGCTTCTTGCCACCCAGGAACAATCTGAGCAGTTCCAAATAGGAACACCAAATCAGGAAGCACACGCGTAGGACACGCACAGACTAGCTGCTGGTGTCTCCGACAGCTGCAGCACCTCCATAAAAGGACTTGGCCCTTGTTACTAGTATCTTCTTGCAACTAGTAGTAATGCCCTTTGCTAC